GGGAGGAAATGTGTGTGCCCTTAGGTGTCACAGTTCATTCACTTGGGGTGAGGTTGAATTTCTGGTCCAGTGTCATTGTGAGTCCTTGGGAGATCATGGGCCCTTCCTGCTGCTGCCTGTGCCTCTGCAGYAGTGCTGATGTTTACCCAAGGTTTGCCTTCGAGCAGCGCTTGACCTGACCTGCTTAAGGGTGAAAGCAGCCTCTGAAAGCATGTTGGAATTTTTGATTATAATGATTGGATATTCATATTCTGTTATTCCAAATTTTCTGTGTTMCTACAGTCAGATGGTAGAAGACAAAAAAATCGCACTTTTTCCGCTTCTTTCTTGAGTACTTGGTATAAAATTTCACCATGTTTTCTTCTAGTGTCCATGTTCATTTTTCTGTCTGCTCTGCAAACAATCCACACCACAGGGGAGATGGGAATGAAAGCTTCAAAGTTGGTGTTTGAAGAAACTCTGATTCCTGCCACTAAGACCTTGCAAAGAGTCTGCTTAAAATTAATTCTCTCCGTAAATAAGTGATTTCATGGTCTCGGATTTCTAACTAGTGCTAAGTGCTGCCCTGTGAAGGCCCTGGTGTGTGAAGGTGGCTTTCCTCCACATTTTTGCAAAACAATTCTTTATGTATCTTGTCAGARTGGGATTGGAGGCTGAAGCTCTCAGTTTTGTATTAGTGTGTGTGGAATGGCAAAGGAAAATAATAGGGTTTTTTTTAGGATTAAGTAACTGAAAACCTTCCAGCTGCTATAGTAACAGCAACACATCTGCCAGATGTCAGTGAGCATATTTTAATCCTTCTATTTTAAGTTTCAAGCTATTGAAGCAAAGTACACCTAGGTGTGGCTGTGTTAATAGCTGCCTCAGCCTGTAGCTACTTGGGTAGCCTAGGAAAGAATCGTGTAGTATCACTGTTGGAGCGACTGTTGATTAAATTTATAGAAAAAGCTTTTCCCTGATGTTCTTSTGGGGCAGGAGCCCATCCTGAAGATTTGTGTTTCTCTCCGAGACACTTTTATGATGTCCTGTTGGGTATACAGCGCGTGCTCTCCTGTGTGTTAGATTGATTGGAGGTACTGGGACGTTTTTCTTGGAAGGTGTAAGAGCCAAAAAAAGTAGAACGAGAAAGTTTTGGCGCCTGGGCTTGCTGCCTAATGCTAATTCCGTGTGGCTGTGCTGGTCTGTGTGGCTGGGATGCGTAGTGGGGAGCAGGGGTGAGGTGTCCACACAACTGTCCCGTCCCCTGTTGACACTGTAAATGAGTTTAGGCTGAAGTGATGGATGTGGGGTGGAAGAGGCTGTTTTTCTAGTTAAACATTTTAAACTGTCAGAGAAGGTGAAAAATGGGTTGTACTCTTTCCTGTGGCCTTTTCCTCCAAAGAGTCTGTCATGCAAGAAAGGGAGGGAAAATGTGCCTGGCGTGGATCAAGCCCTTTGCTTTTCCATGTTCGTTTGTTTTTATTGTAAGATAAACCTTTCATGTTTTATTGTTATGAAGTTAAAGCCTGGCCTGGAGATGCTGATCTGTAAGAGGAACAGCTGGAGTGTCCTCTGGTCAGGTGGGAGGCTCTTTGAAGCAACATGTTGCCTCTTTAAGAGGAAATGGAGCATGTGAGAATTTAAACCTGTAAAACTCATCATCAGCTCTGCCATTGTTTATCTCTGGTGTAACTTTATATAGAATTAAAGTGAAATGCATTACTTTGCTCCCAAGGCAAGATGGTTTTGCTCCCCCTTGGTCTTGGAGACACAGGAAATGACCACATAACCACAAATACTTTCTAGTGGAATGAAGATGAGTGACAGACTTCCCACAGAAAGAGGTTCTTAACCAGACGGGTTAAAGAATTAAATGTAGCCKAAGGTTCTGGGTTTAAGTTAAAACCAACTTCTAACTGCTCAAACCAAGTAGAAAAGAGCAAATGCTGTGGATGCACTGGCTACTGTGAGTGGCAGATCTGGTGTTTCTCATGGATAGGGTGTTGTGATCACGACACTTTTGAGCACTGTGGTCTGTGCCTCAGTCAGGAGAGGAGTGAACCAAACTGCCTTTGAGATGAGAAAAGCAAAGGAACTTTTTTGGCTTTGTTTCTCAAGCTGCCTTCTTGTACAGAAAGCCAAAACCCATTAGRTGTCAGATCTCCTTCACTTCTCTGTAGCATTGTCATTACTTAAAGCAAGGTCTTAGCTAACTTACCACCTTTTTGTACTAATTGTCACTGTATACTCCTTCCTACTGGAACAAGGGGCAGTGATAACCTCTAATTTTGTATAAAAAGTTATTTGCACAAAGAGCAATCCCTTCGAATGAGCTGCCTTAGAAAAGGCTTTCTTAAGAAAGAATGTTTTTTCCTAAATCAGTCATGCTGGAGCACATCTGTTTAACAGTGGTGTTGGTGTGGGGGAAGGCCTAGTTTGTGTTTTAGGCTTAGGCTGAATTGCAGTTGACATAAATAATAAATTTTTCACCTTTTAAGTGTATCCTGTAGCTTCCCCCATAGCCAACAGGAAGCAGCATTGATGGCATCTGAGTGGAGCCCTTAGTGAGGGGCTGTAATGTGAGAGAACATCTGAAGGAGGTGAAGTGAGTACGAGATAATGATAATTTCTGGAAGTAAATGGAAAGAAACTGTATTAATTATAGCTGCTTCCTTAGTGCAGGGTTTTCTTAAGACAAGACAGGAAGCAGCTCACCACCAGGCTGGTGAAAAGAATGTGGGTTTGACTGAAAACGTGGAAAATGTGGTGACATTAGAAACTGCTCAGGCTCTGCATCGTGRTGATGCAGGATTTGTCATGCTGTAAATAATTTTGAATTGATTAGCTAAGCTGTTTGGATTGGCAGAGGGGATCTTCCCRGGGACAGGAAATGTAGGACCAGGATCTCTCCCTCATGGCAGGGAGTTGAACTGGGCAGCTCAAACAGTGTCTGGTGCTGCCTGAACAGAAAGAGTTCCCCCCAGCAGGTCCTTGTCAGCCCTGATGTGCCACAGCCCAAACCAAAGGGGCACAACTGCAGATTGTAGGAGCAGGCTGGCAGTGGAGCTGGGCCAGGGCACTAAACAGGATCAATTCTGGAAGATAGCAATTATCCTTAATGGCATAAACRTTGGGGGAGAGGCAGCAGCATCTGGACTATAGCAAAGGTACGGCAGGAAGGCTCTGTTGGGAGGGGGCTGGGGGATTAGAGGGGTGAGCTGTGGCTCTGAGCAAGGCCTGATGTCTCTTCCAGGCTGTGGCCAAGCACTKCTCAGTGCCACAGCTTTGAACGAGCTGCTCCAAGGAGTGTCTCTTACTGCCTGAAAAGCACAAAACCCCTCTGACGCTCTGAGCAGACATCTGAGGATCTGAGACTTTCCCTTAGCTGTGCAAATGATTAGAGTGAAAACCTGACCTTCCATGAGCACTCGGGCTCTGAAATGTCTGGGGGAGTTATGTCAGGATCGCTTGGCGGGCGGTCAGGGCTCTTCCTGCATGTTTTGTAAACCTACTCCAAAGTTGTCATGACCTGGTAAAGCAGTTACCTCTGGCACAACTGAAAATCTGTAGTAAAATGAAAAGGGTTTTTCAAATCAACTCCCATTTCCAGCTCTCAGTAAATACAGATAGTRAAGTCCTAACAGAGAGTGAATGGGAGGGGGTTTGCTCAGATCATGTTTGCCCACCTCTGTTCTAATATTCAGAGGTTTGTAATCAATAAAAACCATGGGATGCTTAGTGAAGTTATGAGGTGGTGCATCTTCAAAGTTTTTTAGAGTAATCTGTTCCTCAGCAGAAACTACCAATTTTTTACAAGGAAAAAGGTTTGAAGAGCACAAGGACACTCTAAAAAGTGAACATCGTCCTATGAGCCACTGGGGTACAGGATTCCTTGGCATTGTTCTGGACTCARCCCACTTACTAATGCATTCAACAGGATTGTGTGCTTTTGGGAATATTAAAAAGGGATCTATTTTAATTAACAAATTCATTATATTTAAATTAAATTTCTTGTATTKAAAGGAGAGAATTGAAACCCATAACAGGATGTTTGCTGCATAATAAACCTGAAGCTGATGGTTTGTTTTGGTTTGGTTTTTTTAATAAGCATATGCATGACTAATTATTTTATTTCCTTTTTCAAACTTCCATACTTCCAGGCCTTATCTAAAATTCTTGTCTTTAGTGGACGTAATTAAAAGTAAATTTTGCCCACTCACATGCAAGTTTCCACTGTTATATTTATTGGGTCCTGAGAGGAGTTTTGCAGGCTTGCCTGACTTCTTGCAGAAAATCACAAGCTCACCTTCCAAGGAAAGCAAAATAATTTTWAAATATGCTGAGTTTTTTAATGGCACTGAATAATTTTGTTTCAACTGCTGCAGTTATTTGGATATATAGTATAAAGATGTGAAAAGTCATTCATTCCTAATGCGTTTAAATATGCTCCATAATGAATGTTGTGGATRTGAAAGATAAGCAGCCTGGAGCTTTCTTTGTAAGGTATAGGGTAACACAAAGCTTCAAAGTTCTGCTGCCCTCAGGACACACATTGAAGCAGTTAAAGTAGTGAGATAAACGAAATACAATGAGATATTCATCTGCAGAATCTAAAGCTCAAGGACACARTAAGTTTTCATTTAAGTGTTTCTCATTTGCTGACAATGAGCCAAATAAATTTTAATTCCGTGTTGTAGATGGTGACAGAAATTCAGGAACTTTCCCTGGGATGAGAGCCTGGTTTGTTTCCCAGATATTTCTGATAATGTACTTATTACATACGTTGGGATTCTAATCTGAATTAGCTGCCTACAGTTACAAAAGAAAACAAGAATTGTTTTTTTCAGATTTGTTATTTAAGAACTCTTTGTTTTGGTGTGCTGAAGTAAATAACGTGTAGYTGGATAGTCATAGTCTGATGTTCATTCCTCAGTTGGAATAAAGAATTACTGTAAAGAACGAAATAGTTTTCCATTGCTTTGCTTTATCTTAGTCCTCACTCACTGCATTTCTTCTTACAGGTGCTGGATTTGGATTAGGAATCGTTTTCTCAGTCATCTTCTTCAAAAGTAAGTACACTGCATTAATCTTGGCTGCCTGGCTTCCCATTTTCCATCTGTTGTAGGTGCAGTTAAAAGTCTTTGAGGCATRTAAAAGTTAATCAGCTTGTTAGACCAATTCTTCCATTGTTTGTCCTGTCTTTTCCGTTGAAATGGAATTCCCTCAACTTTTAGCTGTTGTGTAACACGTTGTTATCCATGGCACCTCCCTGAGCTCCTCCTGTGCTCAGCTCAAATCCTGGAATTGCAGGAGATCTGAGCCAAATCACTGGAGCCATGTGTCTAGACATGGCAGTTTATGCCAGTCTTGCCAGGACTTAAACACTGAGCTTGGTTCTTCAGTTGGGCTTTAGAACAGAATCATTTTCAGTAAACCCAGAATTCAGAGAAATGTCATGTGTTACTGTTAACTCYTCTTCTTCTGCAGTGGGCTGGTTTGAAGGATTTTAGAACTTGAAAATGCCCTGAATGCATCTTCTAGTAATTGATTCTTTCTTGGTGCTTATAGAACAATATATAACAAACAGCTCTCCTTGACTTTACTCGTTTCCTCTCTACTTGCCTCTTCCACAGGAAAGACATGGCCTATTGCATTTGGGTCAGGGATGGGGTTAGGAATGGCTTATTCCAATTGTCAACACGACTTCCAGTCTCCATATCTTCTCCATGGTAAATTTGTAAAAGTAAGTATCAGTGCCACCCACTATTGATTGGTAACTGTCCATAAGTCAGCATAKCCATTTACATGGATATTCCTCTGCCTTTCCCAAAGGAGTAGGAAGAAACTTGTGTTGCCAAAGCTCARATGTTCCCCTGCATTTTAATATCTGGTGTGTTTAACAGTAAAATTACTGGACTGAATACATGGAATTAGTTTAGCAGATCCTGCAGGTAGCTTTTCCCACAGCCTGAAAACACAATAAAAATACATGTCAGAAAACCAGAAAAATAAATACTAGGATTCTTCAGGCTTTAAAAGACATGAGGTAGGAAAAAACTGAAAGTTACACTRGTCATGTCAGGTAGATCTGCCTGTGGAAGCAGATCTTTGATCTTCCGTGGGGTTTTGGGTTTTTTTTGGTTTTTTTTTCAGTGTGAAAGCACTGATCATTTGTAAGTTTTGTGGCTTGTTTGTCTGAGTAGTAATGTAGTAGTTAGCCTGGAAAAAAAGCATACCCAGTAATCAGTTCTGAAGAGTGTAATTTTAATGAGTTCAGTATTAATACTGACCATGCTGAAGTAAAATACTTAAAAACAGATTAATTAGCAGGAACCATTTCTGCACTCCCAAACTGGCTGCAGTGCAGCAGTCCACAAACTGACTCCATTAGTATTTTCTTAATTTTTCACGTGTCAAAGTGTCAAAGTTGGGGCTGTTCTCACGATAATTTATCATTGTGGCATCTGGAAAACAAGAGTGTTTGTGTGTGTTTTGGATCCACAAAGGCATGGCCTGGTTAAATCATTTCAGTCACATCAGTGGAGAGGCATCCACCAAGGACATATTTACAGTTACGTTAGCATTTCAGAAAGGTAAAATACTCTAGCAGCAGCTTTTCCTGCAGGACACAGAATGCAAAAATCCCTCCTGGGTCTCTCCTCTGTGTGATGCTGGTGACCTGAAGGTGTTTTCAGGCTTTTCCTGATGCTCTTAGAGCWGCAAGTTGAGCCCAGTCCTCCTTAGATTTACTGGCAAGTGAGCTTTTGCCAACATTCTGTAGCCCTTCCAGACATACCTGCTTACAAATATTTTCTCCAGCAGCCTGTTAAAGGGAAATAATAACAAGATTCTCCAAGAAATAAAATCTTTGCAATGTAGAGAAACTGACTTGGATGCAGTTCATCAGCATTGCCAGCTATTGTCCAGAACTGCAAATCTGTGTGGCTCTTCTGGCTAGATTTATTAACATTAAAATGTGTTAGCTTTCCACACCATCCTGAGGTCATTCCTCCAGTTTGTCTCCAAAAAAAAAAAGCTGGTATGCCATGTCTGTGTCTTGGTGTGAATGATAAATGCACTGCTCTCATGTTCTGAGAGAGCATTATTCATTCAGGGATGCTGTTCCTAGGGATGTTGGGCAGCAGCAACTGAGTGTCCGGTCACCCTAGCAATGGATTTTGTTTGGATTAAGGACTAATCTGTGTTCTGGAGCAGGGGTGGTCCTTGGAAGCATGAGGTAAYTGGAGGGACACTTCAGATGCCAGCATGGCACAAGACAAATAGTTTCCAGTGCACTGGCTCCRTGGCTTTCTCTGGCTGAGAGAGGGAAAATGTGGATGAAGCCATCTAATGGTTAATGTCATTAATTCCCTCCAAAATGTCATGTCATGGATAATGGCTCCAGGGTTATTACAACAAAATTATTTCATTTCTGTTAGTTAGGAACATGGAAAATATTGTTGCATTTATCACTCATCTGTTTTTTTCCTAGAAAAATTTGTTATAACTAAGCCCTGTAGGATTTCCTTTACAAAAATGAGTTCTGTTTAAATGCTAACTTGTCAAACTGAGAGAATCTTGAAGAAAATCAGCTTTATTAGAGAGAAATGTAACACAGATTAACTTGGATGAAATTATTTCTAGTTTCCTGAGCCTGTCAAGTTCATAGGATCACAAGAGAACTTGGGTTGGAAAGGACTTCAAGGAGGTCAYGGGGGTCAGCTCTGAGGTCRGACCAGGTTACTCAGGCCTTTATCCAGTTGGGATTGTTGATTCTTCAGGATCAAGTTCTTAATTCCGAGTCCAAAGGCAGAATGAGAGAGGGCAGAGGACCTTCACAATACCAGAAAATCAGGAGCTGTCAGAGTGACTTTGCTTCTGTTCTGGCTGTAACTTGGATCATCACAGTGCCTGTGCTTTGGGTTAGAAATTCCATAATGGAACACTAACTCCAGTGGAGGAGCCATTCACCTAGACCAAAAGAGTATTTAAAATGCAGAAAAGTTCTAATTTGTGGTCAGGGTATTCTGAGGGCTTTTTAAGTAATTTGATCAAGTGGATTTCACTGTGACTTCAGCAGAATTTAAAATCAACATGTCACAATTATTTCAGGGTTTAAAATGCAATGGCTGTGAATTAACACACCCTAGATTTCCTTGCAAAATGGAAAATATCCTATTTTTCAGGTTAGTTAGCCTGTATTWTCACCCAAACCCCACAATCCTGTACTTTGAGAGGAATATGGATTTATGTTGATGTGCAAGAACACAAGAAGGCAACTGCAGCCTTTCCTCTTGCCCTTTCTGGCTGTGATTTCAATCTGATTTCCCTTCAGCCTGTGAGTAGTTAATTTGAACAATAATGTGGGGKTTTTGGAAGTACTCAGTTTATCAGAATGGAGGGTTGTGCATGAAAACATGGCATGAAAATAGCTGCTTTTCCCCCATATACAACTTTTGGCTTTAGCAAAGGATGAAAATGTTCCCGTACCCTCTGGAAATGTTACAGAACTCCATGACTTGCTTTACATCCTGCAGCACCTTCCATGTAAGGAACCCAAATGGCTTTTTAATAATATAAGCCTTCTTGCTTTACAGGAACAGTGACTAATGGCTAAGACTATCCCAGTGGGAAGGAAGGAGAAATCAATGATTATTCCTCAGGAATACTGAAGTGCCCCTGGAATAAGCCAACATTCTTCAGTAACGATCACCAGTAACTCTTTATACTCCAACAAACTGTTTCTGTATACGAAACAAAGTTCTGTTGCTTGTTTTGTATCGTGTCTGAAAAGTGCAAGGAAGAGCTCTTCTGGGAAATAAATAAAAGAAAAATGGCCTTCTCTGGTGTGTTGACTTTGTATGTGAGTGAGAGAGAGGGAGAATGGAAGGAGAGAACTTCATTTGGAGTAGCCAGCAGCTGGGACCACCTGGGCCACTGGGAGAGCTCCTCAGCAAAGCCAGCCATCGTCTGTTCCTCCCTGCTCCTGAGAGCAACCCCCATCCAGCATCCAGTTCAAAGAAGCATTCCCACCTCATAAATCACCCACTCGACCCCTGCTGCTTGTGCCGGTGTTTGGAGAGGAATATAAATACTCCTATGTCCTGTTTGTACAGTTGCCCTTTAAAATTGGAATTTTGTCCTCTCAGAAGAGGCAGAATCCAAACGGGTAAATCCAAACTGTGTGACGGATGCAGCAAGGCCCTGCTGTCTCTTGTAGCTTTGGGTCATGGAGTGACCCCATTTGAAACTTTCCAGGATAGTGGGTGAGTGAAACACGTCCTCATGCCATCTGGCTCTCAGCTTACCCTTTAGGCTGATTGTTTTTGCACCCCTCTTCGTGGGAGAACAGAGAGGTTTCAGTATCTGGGAATGGGTCACAACTACTTAAAGCTCTTTACTGCCTTGGCAAGACACTGCTCCAAGTGCTCCCTTGTTTCCATCTGCCCCGCTCCTTGTGATGCCTTGTTGGCTCGTTGTCTGTTGCTCTTCCCCTGGCTCTGGATCTTGTCTTCACTGCTGCTTTACTCAGCACAATTTTCTAGCTATGGAGATGACTCTCGAGGATCTCTTTGCTTTGTCCCACGTTTGCTGTGTGTTGTCTGTGTAGCACAAGGAGTAAATGCRTGTCTGAGGATGGAAAGGGAATGGTGTGGGATGAAACAGAAATTCTCTTTATTGAAAGCCTCTTCTGCTGCATGGTGAGTGCTAATGGATGGAACAGTGATAGAATAACTCCTCACCAGAAAGGAAAACACAAAGGAAAACAAGTTGTGTGATAGTTGTTTTTTAAACCATGCCAGGAAAGGAAGGGGATGGACTGAGGGGTAGCCTGGAGTTCAGAGGGCTTGAGAAACTCCTTATCTTACAGGCCTGAGGTGTGGGCCTGCAGCAGTCCTGCATCCCCACCTCTCCTGGGCACTGCTCTGTGCATCCCACACTCTGGAGAAACATGTTTGAGCTATGCCCAGAGTCAACAGACGCTGAGGAGCTCGCCTGGAGCAAAGGACTTGTGAAATAAAATAGCTGCAGTGCCAGAGCAGCATTAAGACTGTCAGAGCATGATACCATCCAGGACCATTGCTCCAGCATGTCCTTGTTTTTCCACCTCCTCCCTTGCTGGACTGCATTCATCAGTCAGGTCAACACAGCTTATTGAAAACAGGATATCTTTCTTGTTTCCCCATTTTGAATCATTTTATCCAGCCCCAATTTTTAATTTGAACTGTGTACTTTGGAGCCAGAGCTCCTCTGTGGTTTGGAAATGGCTTTTATGGAGTTCTCGGTGTGTGTGGTGCAGTGGGATCTGCTGGAGACAGRAGCATCAGCCTGGGCAAGACCCAGGAGAGCCACAAGTGGTGGCAACGCTGAACATAGCGACTGTCAACGTGCAGGGAAAGCTTCAGCTCCTGCTTCAGCTCCTGCTGTGTCATCTGGGCCGTGATGCTGGGTTCAATTTTTATTTAGTGTCCCTGGTAACGAGTCATCCTGACCTTAAATGCTCTGCTTCAGCTCAAATAGGACTTCCTAGAGTTAATTCTCATCGTGGGCTACTGTGGCCTGTGATCAGGTGGTTCTTCTGGCCCTGGAACTCAGACACTGATTGTAGATATCGATTCTCAATGTGTCCTTTATTGCTAGAGTGAGAATGATCAGAACAAAAGTTCTTGCTCACTAATGTGAAGTCAACACGGGTGAGTGTGCACAAATCACAGTTTTAAAAGTGAAATTTAAATTTGCTCTTCAAGTGGGGGAAAAGCTTAACTTTTTGGTTCTTTTCACAGCTGCCTTGCTTGTTGTCTGTGTTGATGTGCGTATATATATGTGTGTATGTAAATTCACATATAACCACCACGTAAAGGATCTGTATTTGTTTTGCTTTATTAAATTAAAGATATATTATCCCAAACCTATTTTTGAYCCTGTCCATGTAAGCTGTGCAAAATATCTTGTGAGGACAGAAGGGAAAACTCTTTTTCCCTTTGTGGGAAGGAGCCTGTGCCCTTCCCAGCTGAGGTTGGAATAAGAATGGTTTCCTGCYGCTTGATTTCTAATTACATAAATGGAAGGGGGAAAAGTGGAAATTCTAAGTACCAAAAGGCATGTTAAATTTAGTATAATACACTCATCTGGAAACTATCACATTTTTCCTTCTTTCTTAAGCCTGCTGAAATCATTGCTTCGTCTGTGGTGTGATTTGGATTGGGACCAAAAAGTGCAAACAAGATAGGGCTGAAAAAGGCAGGTGTCCCTACCCAAACTTAATGAGAGCTTTTAGGAGAGAACTGGTATCACAATGGTAAAGGAGTGTACAAT